ATAACGTGTCTGTTTAAGGCGCCTTGAGATACTGTTGTTATTCATTGTTTTTTTCTGGGTCAAACTGCCGTCAAAACATCCGAAAAACTTTCCAATGTAACGTATCAATATATTTTGGAGAAGTTTTAAGCAAATTATTATAATAAGATAATTTTATAATACTTGACACTGGCAAAAGTATAATAGTACGAGTCTATTATCAAAGAGAAAAAAAAAACGATATTCGGATATTCTTACACCGCCACTCCACGGATTAAATATAGAATGAAAAAAGCGACCATGACCTCATGAATAAAATTACATAACTTAACTGCTGCCTCCCCCTTTCTGCCATCAGATTCGGCTTTTTGCCATCACAACCAAAACCTCAGCGTGTCCCTATGTTTTCGACACACAAGAGTGGAATTATTTGTCAGCGTTTATCTTTACGTTTACGTTTTGAATATTATACAGTTACAAAACCGTTTTCAGTGCTTAGAAGACTGCAATGAAGTGGACGATATGAATGACAAGCTCGTGGAAACTGTCCCTGCGGTCGGAGCTAAGTTCTGCAAGACCCGCCGCAGACGAACACAAAAACTCTCCGATCACACTGTCAATCTCATGGCTGTTAGACGGGAGATGAAGCTACATTCTTCAACAGATTTGACAGCATACAAGCAACTGAACAGACAGATCTCCAAATGCATGCGGCGGGACTTACGCAACTTCAATACAGCTTGTATTAAAGAAGCGATAGAGCGGAACCAAGGCTCCAAAGTCTTTGCCAGAGATTTGTCTGCCAGAAAGAGCCAACTGTCAAAGCTGAAGACCGAATGTGGCAGCATCGTTTCCGGGGCACCTGAGATTTTGAGTGAGATTGAGAGGTTCTATGGGCAGCTGTACACGTCATCGTAGGAGCCACACGCAAGTGTGAGTAACGATCTAAGAGCGAGTCTTATCCGACACTATTTCGAAGATATCCCGGACGTCAGTCTGAGCGAAATTAGAGTGGCTCTCTAGCACCTTAAAAACGGCAGGGCCCCAGGCGAGGATGGAATTACAGCGGAGCTTCTGAAAGCGGGTGGAAGACCGTTACTTGAAGTCCTTCAGAAGCTCTTTAATTCCGTCCTCCATGGTGGTGTTACACCGGAGGCGTGGAGCAGACCGATTTCCCTTCTGAGCTGCGTCTACGTGCTGTTTTCGAGAGTCATTACGAATCGTCTCACGCGCAGACTTGACGACATCCAGACTCCCGAACACGCCGGTTTCCGAAAGGGCTTTAGCACCATAGACCACATACACACCCTTCGGCAAATTGTACAGAAGTTCGAGGAGTACAATTTGCCACTATGTCTGGCGTATGTGGACTGTGAGAAAGCCTTTGATTCCGTCGAAATTTTGGCGGTGCTGCAGTCCCTTCAGCAGTGCCAAGTTGACTGTCGGTATATCGAAGTTCTGAAGTGTTTGTACAGTAGAGCTACGATGGCTATCCGAGTACAGAACCAGAGTACGAAACCTATCCGATTGCAGATATGCGTGCGTGATAAACTTAGGAATGAGAATATCCTCAGTAGAACCAGAGTAACCGACATAGCCCAACGGATTAGTAAGCTGAAGTGGCAGTAGGCCGGCCATATAGCTCGAAGAACCGACAACTGACGGGTAAGAAAGGTTCCTTAGTGGCAGCCTCGTGCCGGTAGGCGAAGTGTAGGGCGACCCCCCACGAGATGGAGTGACGACCTGGTAAGACATGCAGGAAGTCGATGGATGCGGGTGGCTCGGGACCGTGCTTTGTGGCATTCCTTGGGGGAGGCCTATGTTCAGCAGTAGACTTGTGAAAGGCTGTAATGATGATGATGATGATTTGAATATTATTCGTACCATGGCGTCGAAATCCAATCACTCTGAACACGAGGGCATTGAAAACAACGACAAAGTATATCACAAAAAAATTAGACTTTTTTTCTTATTACGTGCCAGTTGCGTTACCGTTACGGCCTTTTAAAGTCCACGCCTGAACTTAGGCCTCCCCTATAGATTGCCTCATGGAGGGGATATTTGTCAACGTAGTCACTTGCCATGCTTGGCAAGCGGGTTGGTAACCGCAGTTTTTCTTAGTCATTATTAAGGAAGACGCTTCTGCCCATCTCCTGATTTGTTTTTTTTATAGGACAAGGGTGACAAACGAGCACACAGTCCACCTGACGGTAAGTGGTTGCTGCGGCCCATAGACCATCTACATCTATCCTCGGTTACGAATCAAAATACAGATGCGTGACCTGTGTGGACTAAGATGGAATGTCTTCGTATTCAGTAAAAAGGATCACCGGTTCCCTACACTCACCATACGAAATTACGTGAGAATACCAGCGTAAAATATCCCTGTGTCGCCTCTTACGACACCCACGGTATGATATGGGACAGTGGATATTTTGACACCGCTTCTACACGACTATTAAGTGCCAGTGTTTGTATACAATCCCACTTTCCTATCATGATCTAACGGCTTCCGACAGATGACTATATAACCGTTCTGTTACACCAGAAGTAAAATACCTAGACAGCTGACGGGAACAGTGTACACAGTGTGAGACGTATGGTAGTACTGCAATCGCAAATCGATATACCAAACGTGGTAATTATGTCACATACTCCCTGCAGCGGGAGAGACCCATGTATAGACAGGTGAAGAAAAAACTGTCCTAGAAATAATGAAGTATAATGTGCTACCTACTTACATTTTTAATTATTGCATAGACCGACATGCATTATTTTCGAAACAATGATCATTTCACATGAAACACTAAATCATCGATTTAATAATATTTTTTACATAACTTTGGGACACGTGAAAAAACTACTTATAACTTACTAGGTACTTATTGCATTTGAATTTTGAATGTCACAATGATTGTACATCGAACACTACGCAGAGCTATTGTCTAACTAATGTTTCAAATATTTACAAAAGGAAAACTTAAAGTGGCAAAAGCAAAATGTCGTTTTGAAAAATCACAATCAAAACTGAACCTAAAACCATAAGCACCATAGTCTATAATATCTAGGTGGGACTTAGTCATTTGAGGCAAACTGTCAGTCTATTGGTATAATAGAACATAGCAAGGATGAGTCGACACGAAATATATTGTTGCATATCGAATCTTTGAGTTTATCGTTATTTTCTACCGACGTCAAAAAGGAGACAGTACTCAATTCGACTGTGTTTTTTTTTTGTGTGTTAAAATTAGACTCTGATATGTGTTACCTCATAACTTTTTACTGGGTGAACCGATTTCGATGATACTTTTTTATTTGAAAGCTAGTGCTTCACATGTGGTCCCATATAAATGATCAAGGTCTGACCAATAGTTTTTGAGTTATTCTTAATAATTTATATTGAAGTCGGTTATACAAAATTTTTAATTTTAAATTATTTAATTATTTTTAGGAAAGTGTGAGAGTGATATCGAAAGAAGAGTGAATGCAGGAAACATGGTGAGTGGAGCTTTGCACTCCTTTATGAGCAGTCGGAAGGTGTCTAACAAGGCTCGTTTGGCTGTGCATGAGGGGGTGTTGATTTCCGACACTCATGTACGGAAGTGAAAGTTGGGTATAGCAGAAGAAACATGAAAGCAGAATAAATGCAGTTGAGATGTTGTGAGTTGATGATGTTGTGAGACGTTAAGAAGTATGATAGGAGTGAAACTGAGTGACAGGATAAGAAATAGTGAGATAAGGAAACGTTGTGGCCTGACAAAGTCGGACAAAAATTGAGAAAGTTATGCTGAGATGGTTTGGCCATGTCGAGAGAATGAATGAAGAACGATTGACGAAAAAAGTGTATAAGGCGAGTGTGAATGAAAGTGTTGGAAGGGGTAGACCTAGGCGGACGTTTCTAGACCAAATCAGGGACATCTTAAAAGAAGGCCAGGTCAAGAGTACCCTAAACCGTAGAGCATGTATGAAGGGAATAATGAAAGTGGACTAAGCGAAACAAGTATTTAAGGATCGTAGCAAGTGGAAAGAAGTGGTCTCTGCCTATCCCTTCGGGAAAGATTGTAATGTATTACGAAATAGGATATAGCAAATAAATTACACATTAATAGGTCTAATTTATCGCGATTGTAAAAATGGAACGCAAGTGGAACAACACTAGATTGTAAATTGAACGGTCCAAACAAGGTAGATCTATTTACGGACTCTCGAGTACATTGTACTAACTAGGTTGTCTTATTACTGCTTATTACTCCAACCTTGAAGAAGTGAACAATAATATTATAAGGTTCGTTTAAATGTCATTGGAACTTATAGTAAATATAAACCATGTCATCATTAATAATTATCACAAACCCCACTGCTAAATATAGGCCCTTCTCCATAGGAGCGGCTCCTGAGCCATCTACATTTATCAACTCCTGTCTCATTAGGTCATTTTACCATGAAGTGTGGGCTCGCTCAGCGTACCAATATTATAAGCGGCTGCCCCTCCAAACTTTATCCAACATTGTTTGTCAGTTCTTCGAATTGTATATGACTGGTTCATTGCCACTTCAGTCTACTGATCCGTTAACATTAGGTCAGTATAGGTTCGGTATCAAATTAGTATCACCGATGGTAATGTTAATTATAAATTGAATCAGAATTGTTAATATAAACATAGCATGAAATATTAGGCATAACATAGCAGGAACTCAAAATGGCCTTCATAAAAATTTTATTTCTCGTGGTTTCCTTTTAATGGTTTAATTAAAAAAGAAATTATGTAAATCATAGTAATTAATGGTGCCAGAAATACATTAGGTTAATATGTTTTTCCCGTAAAAATCATTACAATGTCTTTATGCACCGTGCAGATATAACAAATAATTCAGTAAAAAATTCGGAATCCTACAAGGAAACCTTACAGGACCACAATAATAGATAGATATATATTTTAAATAAAAGAAATAGATAGGTATGTATTTTATATTTTTGTTTAAATGAAAACAGGTACGTGAGCTTAAACCTAAAAGACTAGATTAGATTTCGACTTCGAAAGTGTCAGAGACGCCCGTGAATTGCGTGATGAAACCGATAATACTTCTGGAGGCCCCGTAGTAGACGATGCGATGCGGTGTGTTCCTCATGGTGCTATTTGGTACACGCCATTCGAATCGCGCTCGACTCGTCCCGAATAACGTTGACACGCGCTCCCAGTGGAATCTACGACAGAAGATATATCATGATCGCCATTGGTAATTTTATATAATGGACCTGGTCAATTTCAAACATAGTACAAACTTTAAGATATTGTCTTACTTATATTGTCACAACTTATTGTTCCAACCACTAGACAATCACGGCCATGTATGACCGTGTAGTGGCGATGCAAGAATATCCACTAACCCTTGTCGTCCCGTGTGTCTCGTAAGAGGCAACAGAGGGAAATTGGAGCAGGTGATAGGTAGCAGCATCTTCCTGACCACAAGTCAAAAAAATAAAAAATTGCGGTTGACAACCAGCTTGCCAAGCGTGTCAACATCTGCGATTCCCCTGGTGTTGCAGTTGTTCTTGGGCGGCGGTAGTCACTTACCATCAGGTGAGCCGCATGCTCGTTTGCCCCCTCTCCTATAAAAAAAAAAACTATAGCAAATCCTAGAGACCTATGTTCAGCAGTGGACTTTTGTCTGTAGTGGAAGGATGGATGTATATATTGTCGAGCGCGTAAGAGGTATTATAATCTGCCAAGTGTATGATGTAAAAACCCGTCAAAGGTGCGAGGCATTAGGTCAGGTACTAGCCATCGATCTGCTGATTTTCAAGTCGCCTGACAAGCTGACGTTTAAGGCAGATTCCTACTGCGGGAGAGGCACATATCCATAAATAGATTTTTACGAGCTGATAATGATGAAGTATACGCAACACAGAGGCAATACGCGTCTGGTCTACCCATGCTCGATATAACACATACGACTGTTTACATATTATAATATTAAGTAATTTCGGAACTGGGCTTTGACGGAATGTCATTATCACTTTAGGTGGTAGTGCCAATCTATAGCGTTTTGTGACTTCAGCACGAATGGGCTGGCTCAATGTTGACTCTGGTTAAAAGCCCTCTTCACTTTTTCTGCCTATAAGTTCTTGTGCTATTATTTATTCTGTGGTATAAGCAACAATGTTCCAGTAGGTAGCCACCACTACATGGCGACGTATATGATTTAATTAGTTAGCGTTAATTTTAATAGAATTTTAAACCGACTTCAAAAAAGGAGGAAGTACTCAATTCGACTGTATTTTTATATGTGAATCGATTTTGAGAACTCTTTTTTTATTTGAAAGCTGCTACGTCTCCTGTAGTCCTATATAAATTTGATCAAGATCTGACCAGTAGTTTTTAAATTATCCTTAATAATGCGTATTTAATTGACTTCGACTACATTGGTTATATGTTCTCATTTTATTTATATTGAAGTAATTTTTTAATTTTACCACTTGTGTAACGTTACTAAGGCCAACCAAAATTCCCACCATCTGATACCCATCGATCTGCTGGTTTGAAGGTAACAAAACAAGTACAATTTCAGGCTATGAGTTAAGAGTATAAACAAGTATGGGCTGGTGCTGTAAAATGCCACCTAACAGCTTTGGACTCAATGGAAAGGCGTGCTACAATACTTATTGGTGACCACAATTTGGTTAAAACCAATCTTACCAATCTCACAACACGGACGCAAAGTAGCCAGCCTTTCGGTTTTCTACAGGATGCATTTCGGAGAGCTCACCTGGGCTCCTTCTTTCCGAAATGTATCACTGGAGTACACTGACCGCCTACAGTTGTTGGGGGTTGAGATATCCTCAAATATGAAGTTCGGGCGGTTCATTGAGTCTAAGGCCAAAGCAGCTGCAAGGAAGCTAGGAGTCCTAGCGAAGATGCGGCGATACTTCACGAAGGGACAGCTGCTTACTTTATATAAAGCGCAAGTCCGGTCGTGCATGGAGTGTTGCTGCCATACATTATGTGTACTAAATATCGGGAATTTGTCAATAAAACAAAAAATACAAATTATTCATCTAAATTTATTTTATCGCCTTCAAAGTAGGCCCCATCGCTTGCAATACAACATCTCCAACGCTTCACCCAGTCTTCCATACATTTTTCATAGGCTATTTGCGGTATGGCCTTTAGCTCATTCAGCGAATTTTTTTTATGGCTTCTATCGACTCAAAACGTTTTCCTCGAAGTGGTAATTTTAACTTGGGAAATAAAAAAAAGTCAGACGGAGCCATATCAGGTGAATACGATGCTTGGTCGAGAACTTTTGTTGAATTTTTCGCTAAAAACTCTTTCACTATAATGGCTGTGTGTGATGGTGCATTATCATGGTGCAGCATCCATGAGTTGTGTTGCCACAAATCTGGACGTTTTCGGCGGATACTCTCACGCAAACGCTTCATGACGCCTAAATAATATTCTTTATTCACTGTTTCTCCCTTTGGAAGGAATTCGGAGTGAACCACACCACGATAGTCAAAAAAAACTGTCAGCATCACCTTGATTTTGGAGCGACTTTGCCGCGGTTTTTTGGGTTTCGGCTCGTTTTCGAGACGCCATTCTGAAGACTGTTGGCTTGTTTGCATGTCGTACTCATAAACCCATGTCTCGTCGCCAGTTATTATACGTTTCATAAAGGTCGGATCTGTAGAAGCTCGGGAAACCATGTCTTCAGCGACATGCTTTCGCTGCGCTCTTTGAACAAAATTGAGCTCTTTTGGAACTAGTCGAGCGGCGACGCGTTTCATGCCTAAAATGTCAATAAGGATGTTGTGGACGGACTTAAAAGATATGTTCACCTCACTAGCCAACTCTCTCAGACTCATACGTCGATTTTCGAGCACTAGCTTTTTGATTTTGTCGATGTTTTCTTTGGTCGTAGCGGTTGAAGGTCTAACAGAACGAGGCAAGTCTACTACTACTTCTCGGTCTTCTTTAAAAGCCTTATACCATTAATAAGCCCTTGTTTTCGATATACACGATTCGCCGTAGGTATTTCGCAACATTTTTAGTGATTCACCACATGAAATATCATTCGAAACACAAAACTTAAGGCACACTCTTTGTTCAACAATATTTTCCATTGTAAAAACAGACAGATCCCGCTCAAACTTTGCGCGCTAAATCAGTACAGTGCTACCAACATGCAGTAAAAAAATTAGAACGACCTCTTTTACGCGGGTCTTTTTATTGACATATTCCCGATACTTTTTACACAGAGTTGTATATGGGCTGGTGCTGCAAAATGCCACCTAGCAGCTTTGGACTCAATGGAAAGACGTGTTAAGAGGCTTATTGGTGACCCGAATTCGGTTAAAACCAATCTTACCAGCCTCCAACACAGGCGCAAAGTAGCCAGCCTTTCGGAGAGTGTGCGCAGGAATTGCATAATTTAATTCCTCCGTCTCCCTTCCACCATCGGACAACCAGACGTTCGGCCAGTCTCTACCCTTTCGTTGTTGACTAACCACGCATTTGAACCAAACGGTTTGCTACATTGTCCGTGATGCATACAGCAAAGGAATGGGAAAAGTTGCCAGCATCTGTGCTTCCATCCGATTACAATATGGATGTCTTCAAGGCAAGAGTGAGTCAGTGCGCTTCACCGTCTTAGGCTACATCACCACTTATCATAAGGTGGGATTGTAGTTCAACGCTGGCTTAGTATAATATAAAAAAGTGGTAAAATTAATAATTTTGTACAACCGACTTCAATATAAATTATTACGGATAACTCAAAAACTACTGCACAGATCTTGATCGAATTTATAAAAAAGAGCTTACAAATAAAAAAGAATAATCAAAATCAGTTCACCTAGAAAAAAAGTTATGGTTAACACATAAAAAATACAGTCAAATTGAGTACCTCCTCTTTTTGAGATCGGTTAAAAATATGTTACGTCTGTAAGAAACATTTACTTGGTTTCCCAATCGGCGTCAGTGGCAACTGTCCTCCATTCACTTCCTTCTAATCTTTCCACCACAGCGTGAGACGATTCTTGACGGATATCGTTACGAGGGTTGGCGGCAACCTGAATGTGGTTGAACAGAATCATGAAAGTTTTAGTAGCAAATCTGTTAATAGTCCTTATATTACTATTAGGTAACAAATCCAAATAAAATCAATACATTTTGGACAAGTGGTAGAGCCACGCTACAGTTATATTATGGTTGTAACACGAATGGGTTGGCTCGACCTGGGAAGAACCACGCTCTCACAGAGTACCAGCGTAAAATATCTGCTTAATGTTGCTGTGTTTCGTATGGTAAGTGTAGATAACCGGATACTCTTTTTACTGGATACGAGATGACAACAGATAACCGGATACCCTTTTTACTGGAAACGAGTCATTTCCATCTTGGTTCTCTGGGATGATAACGCATCTGCATTTTATTCTTAACTGAAGATAGATAAAGATGTCTATGGGCTATAGAATTCACTTGCCATCGGGTGGACTGTGTGCAAGTTTGTCACCCGTATTCTAAAAAAAACTTTTCTAATCAGATCTTCTTCCAGGTCTACAGCAGTGCAGCCACTGTTGTGTTCTTTTACACTGGCTCTCTTATCTTCAAGGGCACGAGAACCAGTATAATCACAGGCTGAGAGGCGTTTCATCTTAGTCCTTAGTGGTGATAATTCTGTAGCTTTCTTTATTTAAAGTTATGTGCAAGGGTCCATGGCTGCAGTAGCCACTAACCATCCGGTGAACTGTTAGTTTGTTTGTCAATTCAATTTTATAGAAAAACCAGGAATTTTATTGTTGTCCACACGTGTGTAGGTCTCTTTGCTTAAAGTAGGTTTCATAGGCTACAGTACAAACATACAAATAATTACTTGTGAATTGGCTAGTAGATTTAATGGCTCCATGGCGCAGTGGCTTAGCAATGTGTTCGAATCGCGCACGGATCAAGTATTTGTATCTATAAATAATTTTTCCGGATATAGATAGTTTGTCTTTGTAAAATTTATGTATAAAACTGCCCCCACGATACAGAAGAAAAGATCACGTGAGTGGTAGAATGGCGGGAATATGCTTGCGTGCAAGCTCGCGTGCGTGCATGTGTGCATGCTTGTGTGTGTGTACGTGTGCATGTGCGTTTGCGTCCGCGTGTGCGTACATTATTTATATAAAACACTTACAAAAGTAGCACTGACAATATCGCCCATTCTGACCCTTGAAGGTGGCTGCTCGAGAACAGCCCCGAAGTGACTGCCGATGGGGGTGGCATCCAGGACGACGGGCAACACGAGGGAGATCGTGTCAGATCTATGGTCTTCCGGCTCTGGACCCGGAGGCACATCCCCACCCTACAACATGAAATTTTATTAAATGACCTCCTTATTCTGATCCTTAATTTTTTTATATTGTTGTTGTGTATTTTTGTGTTTAAGCTATGTTTCTAATAAAAATCTTTATACAGTAGGACCTCGATAAACAGAACACCCAAAATGTACACCCTGTTCGGGTTAATGAGGCGTTCGGATTACACTATGTAGATATTATATCATCTTCAGGGTCAAAATAAACCAGATCATGGTCAGAAGTTTCTTCTGGTTTGAATAACTAAACATAAAGGCTTTCAAGATTTTTTGATCAGATTGAAGGATACTTGTTGACACATTGAGCCAGAGCAAATACAGCATCTTTCATATATGTTTTTTTTTGTATGTCACTTTAATATTCTGGATTACGTTTTGATCCATTCGTTGAATTAAGGCGGCATATATAGAACAGTGAAATTTTCGTCAATTGAACGCAGATCTTCTTCTGATAGGCACTGCCATATTCTGTAAGACAGCGGCTTGCACGAACAGCACGGCTAGCATGGGCTGGGGACAAAAAATTATCCCCCGATTATATCCACTGACAATAGATAAAATTATGTTGTCCTTTTGCCAAAGCAAGGCATCGGGGAGAAGTATATCCCCGTTTGACATAACGAGTAGATATATACAACCCCGTCCGAAGTTTAAGTCTATCTCCCATTTTATCTACTATGCTGGTGGATAAAACTAAGCGAGGGGTTAAACATTTTCTACTTTCTCCGGGGATAAAATGTCTACTGCCCATGCTAGCCCTGCAGGGGGTCGTTCGGATTATAGAGGCGTTCGGATTGTCGGGGGTTCGAGGCTCTACTGTACTATTATTATTGTATGTATATTTGTGACCGAAGTACCTGACGGCGATGGGACGCGGCGTTAAAGGTATGAACCTTTAACGCCGCGTCCCATCGCCGGCCTTGGGAATTTATATCTGCTCAGCTAGTCATGAAGCCTATCAATAATCTTTAAAGTCTACATCAATCTATATTGAGGCCTATGTTCAGCAGTGGACTTTTGATTGGCTATAATAAATAATGATTATTTTTACTTGATAAAGCCACACTCTTATGGCTGTAGCATGAATGTATCGTTTCGGTCGAGAATGGACCGCGCTTGGACATAATAAGTAAACACTTTCACTGTCCGGTTTTCAGACACAATAGTAAGACAATAACAATGAATTATATCTAGTGCACGGGACAGCGAAATGGTAAATATAGTTATAGTCTAAATAAGGCAAGGGAGTGTCCACTACGCTGCCCCAATGCATATTGGCGGACTTCACATGTCTTTAAAGTATTTTTATAGTGCACTAAATGACAGCTTCAAACAGCACTGCTGATGTATGATCAGTGACAAGTCTCTTAATGCAACAACGCATCTAGATTTTGATTCTCAACCTAGAATAGCTGTGTGGGACAGAGCATTCATTTACCATCTGTATGCTCGTTTGTTAATCTTACTTGTAAGGTACGTGAGGGTAATATGGTCACTTTAAGCTTTGCCGCACTATAAAACCAAAACTTGGAGGAAAACAGAGACAAAAACATAATGTCGTATACTATAACTAATATATTATTAAAAAAAAATAGCAAACAAGCTTTAGCAATAATTAGGAACACTTCGAAAAATTTACTTAAAGAAAATAACTATACTACCCAATACTAAAATCAACTAAAATATTTTCTATGATATCAACTGTCAAAATGGCGTCAATAAAATGGCGCCCTTTTGACCATTTATTATTTGAATGACTGATGAACAGCTATCGTATCACAAAGCTACCTATGCAAATAAGGCTGTAGTTTTTGTGAAAGTGACTATGTTAACCGGATGACCACATTACCCACACTATATAAAATACTGTGAAAGGCATGATAAAAACTTGTACCTATTTGAAACTCACATCTATAGCAACGGAAGTGAACTCCGCGAATTTATTGAGGAATATTTCGAGCGTGTGAGGGCCATAAATTGTGGAAGCGGCTTCATATCTCTGCACCTGCGTATTATTTTCAAAATATTAAATTTTATATTTTAATATATCAATATTTCATTCTACTGGACATTGATTGGACATTGCCGGACATGGGCATTGCTTTCTAGCTGTTCGTAAAGCTTCATCACAATCGGTTCAGACGTTCCCAAGATCAGACCGGACAAACAGACAGGCAAAAATTAAAAAAAAATTGTTGTGTCTTAATAGCCTGCCATTAACCCCCTGAGCGTAACAGACATTATTTTAATATTACAGACAGACGTTTCAATTTTGTTAATATGTGTAGATAATAACTCCCTGGGAATGAGGTGATTGCTACCAAGCTTTCTAATATGATTTATACATATACATAGTTCGTTATATTAAAAAAAAGTCCCGCTGAATTTGTTGCTTGTTATTCCTAGGACAGAAGTATTTTCTGAACAAGTGTTAAAATTAAACATAAAAACGTACGTCAATAAGTATTATTTATAATCTGCATTGAATTAAAAAAAATCTATATCGTTTTCTTAAATACCTGGTATTCTTCAAAAGTGCTGATGTAGTGTATATACTCATTGGTTAATCCGGAAACTTGAACCCTGGGCTGGAGACCGTGCTGCCGCATGACGTTGGACACTACGTCCTTCACTCTTCTCCCGGCCATGGTAGTGGGCTCTCCTGGGAGGCCGGCTACAACGAACCCTCCCAGCCAGATTAGAGTCGCTGATACTACCCGCCCGTGCCATGGGACAGGGGAACTTGCCTTTGAAATGAAATGACTTTGTTTGAAATGAATATATTTATTTTGAACTTTTTCAAGTTATTACATCTGTTGGGCACATTTCTGAGAATGTCTGCCACGCTGCCGTAAGTGTTAGCGGACTTGACGTCTTAAAAGTATTAATTTTTTTTAAATCTAGCAAACTGCTTTGGCTTTGCCTCGATAGAATCTATAAATTTACTCAGATTTAAGATTAGTGTCAAAGCACATTTATTTTATATATTTTTCTACTTCTCTAATAAAATCTTAAAGGTTTACGAAAAAAATGTATCTTAGATCACTCCTGGTATTGCTAATTCCTAAGCGACTAAACATTACCTTATAGAACTTCAAAATCATTAAAAAAAAATAGAAATGCTGAATCCAGCCGTGTGGACAAAGATGAAATGTCTCTTTTCCAGTAAAAAAAGGGTCTCCGGTTCTCTACACTCACCGTACAAAACACAGCAGTTTTGAGCTGCCATTTTACGCTGGTATTCTGTGAGAGCGTGGTCCTTCTCCGGTCGAGCCGACCCATTCGTGCTACAACTATACTATTAATATAGCTCTACCACGTATTTTTACAGACTGAAACATTTTGCCTTATTTTTTAAGTTGATTAAGGTGAACTTGGTGGTTGCTTTAGATACTTATAATCAAGTGAACTCTGAGCTCATTTATAACTTTAATTTTACATTAAGTAAACTTTGCATGGGAACTACATATTAACAATTTATTCAAGAAAAAATAAAGAAATAATTAGAAGCTTTAAGACTCAACTAAGCTTTTCGCTTGAAAATCGAAATTCTTATTTTAACTATACATACCCTGCCGGTAGCCAAGAGAATCGGTTTTGGTGCATGACATTCCACGTCCTCTTCAGTAGGCCCCGCTACCGCACTTACTATCGCGTCCAATTCGGGGACACCTGTTAAAGTACCCTATGAAAAGAAGATATTATTGAGAACAAACTAGGGGATATTTGTTTTATGTCTGACTAGAAAGGCGCTTTGTCTCACAAATTCAGTGTTAGATTGTCGAAAACAACGTTCGCGGTTTACAAAACAAAGAACTAGTCTTCTGGCCCGCTCGCAGTCGACTAAAGGACGTACGGAGAACTGACCGTAACTTAGTGCGCAATGTATTAAGGCCGCAGAGCCCCTCTAGTAATATATATATATAGAAGTCTTTGCTTTTGAACTATTTGTTATAATTTAAATTTACTAACATGATGGAACTACATAATTACTATTCTCTTTGGATAGAACTACCTTGATATAATCTGTGAAGACTACGGTTTTTACTGTGCCACGAATTTTGAAGGCGGATTCGCGTAGATCTCGACAAGATACGCCGAAAAGTACGAATATCTTTTTATATATTTCGCTTAGTTTCCGAGATATCGATAATCAAAAATTACTTTTTTTACACAGGAATATTGACCCAAAGTTACTTCTCCAACGGCTTCGGCGCTGCAGGAAGTGCGGGCCCTTGTCCCTTGCGTAGCAAATAGCAAGCACCCATGTTCACCTCCGCAGCTTTGGGTTATTGACCAGCTTCAGCCGCTAAGGCTCGCACGGGTGCATATGATTTGCTACGGCGAGCGGGGCTGCTTTCCCTCCGCGCCTACGGCTTTACAAAAAATCTCTAAGAGTATGACAGACAAGACTACGTGGAATCAGGGCGTTCTAATTCGGTTTTAGTATTTGATTTTCACATTTCAAATCGTGGCGCCGTAGGAACCGTAGAACCCCCTTTTTAGCGCAATAAATACATTAGTTTACTTAGTAACATTAGTTTTGTTATATGTGTAGTTTTCTCGTAAATATAAGAAATTATTACCTGTGTTATATTGAGTACATTAGCGCCGTCGGTAGTCCCAGATGCAAAGCTATAGCCCATAGCAGAGATACAGCCTTTGACGCGTTCGTTCTGAATTTTAAAATATAACACATTATTTCATAAGAAAATAGTATTGTTCATCCAACTAGCAAATCACGCAGATACGCCTATACCAATTTTCATGGTAATTGATGAACGGTAGAGAAGTTGATGCAGCGCCATCTAGTGGTGAGTAAAGTAAAGTGAATAGCATAAAAAACCGTCGCAATAAAAAAATACATGTAGGTGTATTATATTCCAACTGATCGGTCAAACGGTGTCGAAGGCTATTAATCTCGAACATAATATGCAGCAACGTCCATTTTATTATACAAAGATTATATAATTTTAAATTCTTAACCAAAACGTCATTGGCTGAGTGACCTAGAGTTCATACTGTTACGAGCTTGGGGTTCAAGACAATTAAAACTGCCGATTGAATTACCAAAATTGACACTTTAATTACAGAACACTAATTACAATTTAAAACCACACTAAAACGCAGTTGTTTCGCTTCGAAGTATTCTCTTGTATCGCCAATTCAATACTGACTCGGTCTTGGTCTTATATAGGGCCTCAGAGAGTTTCCAGAACATTCTGCTGTAGCGACATCTAGAATGTTCGAGTACATATCGGTCCCGAAATTTCTAAAAGGATCTTGACTCTCCTAGTTCTGCTACTCGACACAAGAGGGCGCTAGTGGTGACTAGTGTTGCCATGTACAAGACATTAATAGTGGCGCGCAACAATACTGTCAGCAGTTAAGTACCACGTCGTACAGGTGGCTCGAGAACGCGCTTTGTTACATGGAGGAGTCCGATGTTCAGCAGTGGGCTTAGAAGGTCTGTAGTGATGGTGAGGTTCACCAAGCGCAGCATCTATGGTAAATAATTGTATTGTAGGCAATATATTGTGGAGGGCTAAATACAACAGTGGACATTTGTTAGGTGTGATTAATGACTGGACGATAAATGTAATACAGAAAAACTTACGGCATCAAATCTCCTTGCGACAGGATCGTATTTCGCGACAACTTCATCAGGCATATCAATGAACTGATGGAGAACCGCCAGCTCACCTCGCAGCTCTGTCCCTGGACTGTTAAGCACCTCCTGTTTATATTTATACGTAACTTTATTCCGGGCACATTCCTCAAACGAATATTGCATATTTTTTATTATTCTAAGCCAGTGCTTGATTACTATCTGACCTGATAGTCATGCAGCAGATGGTAAAGCGCACTGACTTAACAAAAGCCTATTCACTGAGCCTTGAATATATCTACACTGTAATCGGATAGAAAGACAGACGCCGGCAACTTATTCCACTCCTATGTATCATACTATCGTTTTCACGGGTAAATCGTGGGATGAAGTCTACGATACAGCCGAATTTGGACTGTCCAAAATTGCGAACTGGCTCGAAATAAACTTGCTTACCCTTAACACGTCTAATACAAAATATATATGCTTTTCCATTAACAAACGGTCACAACCCATAACACACAATCTCAAAATACACAACTGTGGGTTGCGTAACAATTGCACGTGTCCTACTCTAGAAAAAGTAGCTAGTACTAAATATTTGGGGGTTATAATGGACCAAACACTTATATGGCATTCACAAATAGAAACAACTAATAATAGATTACGAAAACTTGTTTGGATCTTTAAGACCCTCAGACATGTCGCAACTCATAAATTATTAAATCAAATATATGCTGCACTAGCCCAATCGATTTTAACATATTGTATACCAGTTTGGGATGGTACTACGAAAACTAAACTCCTACAACTGGAACGTGGTCAACGAACATTAATAAAGGTCATGTACAATAAATCATATAGATTCCCTACAGAAGAACTTTACTCAGTTAGTGGTTTACTAAGTGTTAGAAAGTTATACATTTTAAATTTGTTGTTAACAAAACATAAAACAACTTTCTACGACAGCAAAAGTAGTAATAGAAAAGCTTTTGAATTAACTCTAGTCAAGACAACTTTTGCTAGTCACCAATTTAAACACACACACACACACACACACACACACACACACACACACACACACACACACGCACACGCACACACGCACACGCCACACACGCACACACGCACACACGCACACACGCGCACACGAGCACACGCACACAAGCACACACGCACACACGCACACACACACACGCACACACGCACACACGCACACGCACACACGCACATACGCACACACGCACACACGCGCACACGTGCACACGCGCACACGCGCACACGTGCACACGCGCACACGCATACACGCACACACGCACACACGCACACACGCGCACACGAACACACGCGCGCACGCACACACGCACACACGCACACACGCACACACGCACACACGCGCGCACGCACACACGCACACACGCACACACACACACACGCACACACGCACACACGCGCACACGCACACACGCGCACACGCACACACGCACACACGCACACACGCACGCACGCACACACAAGAGAGAGAGAGAGAGAGAGAGAGAGAGAGAATCGCGCGAGTGAGCGCGCGCATCCATTAACTCACACCCACATAAACTCGCACACTTATATAAAACCCTCATTATATAAATATAAGCTTAGTTTCTTGTATTTCTTTAATTTATTTATTTTGTGTTTATTTAATTCTTGCTATAGAAGAGCTGGCCATCCATGCCATGCTATAAGTATATATTTACTTAAAAGGATGTTCCACTTACTCCCATACCTATATAATGTATGATCTTTTTAAGGAAATAAACAATTTTTTATTTTCGCATGGTAAGTTTAATGAACCGAAGAGTCTTTTTACTGGTAACTAGCATTCCATCTTAATACTTCACTAGGTGGTAGAACTACAGGAGGTGGAACTCATTTTGTACCTTGAACTTGGCCCGGGAAGGTACCACTTATTTCTGCCGCCAAATAACAGCTGTGTTCCCTTCTGGAGGATATGGATAACCACTATAAATACAGGCTGTGAGTCGTTCCATCTTAGTCCTCAGATGTGACAATGCATCTGTTGCCTTTTTCTGCAGTACCCACTTACCATAAGGTTTACCTTAAGTTCGTTTGTCGCTTCTATTTTATAAAAAAACTCAGGATTGGTTAAGAATCAACATTAAGATGCGTTCAGATGAAATCTGAATTTTGACCCTTAATCAATGATAGATGCAGATTTCCATGGACAACAGCACATACCATCCACGGTGAGCTTGTTCGTTACTTTATATCTATCAAATAAAACATCCTAGATACATATCTGGTATACAGAAGATGACTAGTGTAAAGATCTTTATAGCTTACCAATGCGGCTTCATATATGATAGTTCCAATAATCTCAGTACTCTGAAACATGTCCTCCCCAGGGCCTGATGCGAAGCAGCGTTCCTGGGCTTCGCACAACAGGAACTGGTTATCACATAGTTCCCCACTGAACTCACATCGGGCATCCCCCGTATTGGGGGACACGTCCCCCTGGTTCGCAGCGAAGAAACCAGCCACTATTTCCGGCTGAAAAAATACAAAAATAGACTTATTTTTCTGTCTTGCTTAGACAAAAAAGGACTGAAGTCCAGAAATTTTAAAGACTGATATGATGAAGAGGTTCGCGATTATTTCTGAATGCAATATTTGAGCAATATAGAATAGAATTTTTTTCTCAATATATATCGGTTCAGAAAAATCCATCCTGAGAAGAACCAGCAAGAAACCCAGCATGACATGCATGAAATTTACAATGTAATAATATGTTGTACAATTTAATATGAAAACATTTAGAAACAGAATGGTAGTGATCACCTCATTCCCAGGGGTTATTATCAATCATGTACTCTTATTGAACAATTATTGCTTTATTATTTTTTTTTACTTTTTGATAGATATAAGTTCTGCATATTTTCTAGGACTTTGTTGTTACTCACATTGCTCTATTAAGGAATTACTTACTCGTTGGATTCGAGTAACTAGTATAACTTATACAGGGTTATTTTGCAATATACATTCAAATTAGCAGAGAAGGTTTAGAATATATAATATAATCGAATGGTGAAGAAAAATTATTTAAAAAAAATCTCAAACATTCTGTCGTTTTTATCTTTTAAATTCAGAATGCGTGGTAACGCCATTGAGATATAATGTACTACGTACTAGAGAAGACGTCTCAACTCGATTGTTTGTAACACGCGTTAGAGTGCGCGCTCTCAAACTCACTTAGTCTGTGTCAAGCGGTTGTTGCAACGTGAGAAGTTAGAGTGAAGAATTATTTTTAAATTAATATGCCTTCGTGTGCATTGAGATACTGTTCAAACTACTCGAGAAATATAAGAAAAAGTCAAGGAGTGAATTTTCACCAGTAATTTAAACTTATTATTATCTTTAAAACACACTTAATTTAATTATATTTTATCAACTGCAACGTATACGTGAATGTCAAAGAGTAAAACATTTTTATGCGCAGACTTGACACTATCGACGTATAATGTCAAGTAATTATGAACAGTAAAATATTTATATATAATCACTGTAGGAAATGTTAATGCATTAAAATTAATATTTTTTATTATTATTTTTATTTAATGGTTTCCTCGGCTGTGTCATGAAACAAAATAATCATGGATCAAATTTGTTCAGAAGAATTGCAGCGAAGAAACGTCAGATTATTCACGCATATTTTCCGTACAGTTCAAAAAAAATGACAAATACACCGCAAAAACAGGAAGAGTTTACTTCAAGAAATAAGCAGTACCATGCGACAATGTAATTATATAACATTGCTGGGATTTTTGTTTTATTTTTTGATTAGACCACGAACGAATGTTTTTTAATGTTCAGTATATTTACGGGACTTAAGAGAGGCGGAAACCTACTATTAATACTGTAACACTAGAATTTTTGCAGGCTTCCCAAATAACTAGTATCTTTTTTCAGCCAACAAAATGTGGTGAACAGGAACTATCAGAACCGTTGTCTGAATCAATAAGCAGTACAAATTCAATTTTAGATAGTCCGAGCAAAATTGTACTTAAAAATAAATTACGCAAGTGATGTCTCCTAAGCTAAGTATGAGTGATGTATGCGAAGCATAAGCTTTTAAATATAGTTCTACCTTAATAACGGAATCAATAATTCTAGGTTATTATAAAAAGAATAAAATATAAGCACGTTGTAATATTGTGTTTGTATTTAATAGCAAGGAATCTGCAGCTAGAAAGAAACTTACTGAGAAATTTAAGACAAAATATTTATCTAAAGAAAAAATGTGCTTCTTACAAATCAATTGTAGAAAATTTGAAACATAAATTCGGTCTCAACTTAAATGCTGAGATTGATTTAATGGGTAAAGCAGAAGTTATGGAGTAACATAAATCTTTAACGAAAAAGAATAAACAGAGCACGCATTATTAATTATACACTGCATGCACCTTTACGTAAATTCGCATTGATTTTACACTATTATTCACCAGCTGCGTATAAATACGTTAGAGAATGCTAGAAAAGTAATAATAATGATTTTTGAAAATAAATGCATATTTTTATATTCTACATATTTACCTTTTAAAGTATTAAATAAAATATAATTAAAATGTAATTCTGACATAATATTATGTTACATTATATTAACACATTATGCAATATAAATAACAATTTAAAAAATTGTACTCGATACAATTTACAATACAATCTAAATAAACATTTACTTATTACATACTGATCATTCTACCTACGTATATAATCTATGATGACAAAAACCGCGCATGCGCGACTGTACTATTTACCGCGCATGCGCCAAGACATAGAGTAGTGCACAGTTTTTGTTCGGAATAGCTTCTCTAGTACGTAGTACATTATATCTCAATGGGTAACGCATTATTTTAATTGATTGTCATTCATAAATATCTAACGCCAACTATTTTACTACGCACGCACACATGTGTAAGGGTCACTCGGTCGGCAAATACGTCATAAACAGAAACGCGCGTATTAGTTGTTGCCTATAAATCACAACATTCAATTTAGGATAATTTCAAATAAAAGTAGAAGCCTTAATTAACCGTATTTTCAAAAACTGCAATAACGGTACATCATTATTTTCACATATATTTTAACTTAAATATAAAATTTGGATACACTTTGAAAAAAATAACCCTGTACAAATTATATATAAATATATTATAATTACTATAGGTACATAGGAGAGAATCTCAGCGACGATAGAAAGCTGCCCATGTTTAGTGGCGGGAAATATACTTCCATAATTACATTAAAATAAAATGGAAGAAACATCTCACAATATTCTAACCAATATGTTATTCCTATTTCTTAGTACTAAGATAGACTGGTAGTTTTAGTAGTTTTTATGCAGCACTTACCATCAGGGTGACAAAGTCCACCTGATTGTAAGTGGTTGTTGTGACCCATAGACATCGACATCTATCCTCAATAAAGAATCAAAATGCAGATGTGATGTCACCCATGAGGACTAAGAATGCCTCTTTTCCAGTAAATAGAGTCTCCGGTTCTCTACACTCGCCATACGAAACACAACAGTGTTAAACAGTGGCGGCTCCGTGGCGCAGTGGCTTAGCAATCAGTTGTTGCGCTGGGGGCCGCGGGATCGAATCCCGCACGGAACAAGTATTTGTATGGCCTACAAATAATTGTTCCGGGTCTGGATGTTTGTCCTTGTGCAATTTATGTTTGTAAACTGCCTCCACGACACAGGAGAAAATCCTAATGTGAGGGTAACGTTTTTTATTTTAAAAAAAATGCTATTTTACGCTGGTATTCTGTGAGAGCGTGGTCCTTCCTCGGTCGAGCCGACCCTTTCGTGCTATAACTATACTACTAATATAGCTGCAGCATGGCTCTGCCACGTATAAAATACCTCAATCATTGAGTCCGCCTATAATGTCCTATAATGAATTTTAGAGGCTGTAATGGATGGATGGATGGATATATTCTACTACTTTGTGTATAAGTACCATGGTGGCTCAAGACCTAAGCGCCCGCTGTAAGTTTCACGGTACTTGAGCAAGCTGAATTCGATTCTAGCTGGAAAAAATGGAATGTTTCAACACGTACTCAGTGACGGAGGAAAACATTGTGATGATAGCTGCATGTCAAATAAATTTAAAAATATCTCGAAGATATGTGAAGTCCACCAAAACGCTTTGGGGTAGTGCGACGAACAATTCCTTGCCCTAAAAGCCTCTCAGAAATTAGAAAATGTCTGTGCCCAGCAGTAACCATGCATAGGCTGTAACTTTATTATACTTGTGTACTTTTTCACCCTAAGGTATATAGGTAGAGAAATACCTCGAGCATTGGAATACTATGTGGCCTAATTTATGTGTATAGTTATTAAAGAAACAATTATTATCGCCACACTTACCTTACCGGTCAGACTTGCCGGGTTCAGTTCCCGCTCGAGGCGAAGGGCTGCGTAGCCCAAGTTGTCTGAGGAGATGAGCCGATTGCTCATATTCATGCTGGTAGCGTGCACAGGGAACCAGTTCAGGACCCCATGGATACTGCCGTCTTCCTTCACGATTCGAACTTGGGTAAGTGTGTTGTCAGTATTGCTGTCGTATCTACAGGGGTACAAGCCATTTTAAAATATTATGTCTATTCCCGTAATATTACACGATAAACGCACAACCAGAGTATAAAGTAACTGAGGGTATCGCCTATGTTAAGTGAGAGGGATTCGCTTTCACAACATCCCTTAAAAAGTGCTGGATAAGGGTATAGACTTTTTTTTTACTATTCTTAACCAGCGCTTAACTACAATCCCAACCGATGGTAAGTGGTGATTTAGCCGAAGATGTTGAAGGGCACTGACTTAACTAAAGCCTATTTATCTTTGCTGTACGAATGACAACGATGTAACAAATCATGCTAGGTATCAGGCCCTCCTGCCACTAGGTTAGCCTCCTAGAAGTTCATCTGGGTAGGTATCACCTATTTCTTCTTCTCTTACCTATTACTACCGCCAAGCAGCAATGCCTGCACTGCTGTATTCCAGTCTAAAGGATAGATTTGTACGTGGTAGAGCCATGTTGCAACTATCTTAGTTGTATAGTTGTAGTACGAATGGGTCGGCTCGACCGGGGAAGGACCACGCTCTCACAGAATACCAGCGTAAAATAGCAGTTTAATGCTGCTGTGTTTAGTATGATGAGTGTAGAGAACCGGAATCCCTTTTTACTGGAAACGAGACATTCCATCTTAGTCCTCACGGGTGACAACGTATCTGCATTTCGATTCGTAATCGAGGATAGATGTGGATGTCTATGGGTCACAGCAACCACTTACCATCAGGTGGACTGTGTGCTCGCTTGTGACCTTTATTCTATAAAAAAATTAGAGAGAGCCAGTATAATTTGAGGCATCCCATCTTCGTGTCCAGAGGTGACAACCATGTGTAGCCTTCTTTGTTTGAAGTTATTTGCGAGTGTCTATTGACTGCAGTAACCACTAACTATGAGGTGGACTCTAAGTTCGTATGCCACTTCAATTTTATAAAAAAAACCCATAGTAGAGAGATTTTTTGACAGCTGGATTGATCGCAGTTCCAAACGTCTGCTCTACGACGATGCTCTAAACTGCCAGTCTCGGTATTTTACATCGACCACATCAGCCTTTTCAATATCTTAAGGAAGCACTAATCCCTAAGACCACTTCAGCTTACTTGCTGAAGTGGCAATGGGCTGGGCTTTTAGCTCAAAGAACCAAAAACTTCTAGACATGTAGAGAGCATCCATCTAGATGGATTGACGACCTGGTAAGACATGCAGGTGAATGCAGGTGGCTCGGGTCTGTTCTTATTGGCTTACATTCAACAGTGAACTTGTAAAGGGATGTAAAGATGATGATGACGCTGATCAACTACGTACCGTTCTCTTTCTTCCAACGGATTGTATTCGTAAGAGTACGGCGAGCGGTTCTTGTGCACGTTCCACACACGCGTCTCGCCAAAGAACAGCCGCGCTGGTACTATGTTCTCGTGCGCGCGGATGATACTCTATAGAACCAATTTTTTTTTATTAAACATTGATTATAAATATTAGTTATTGCTAGACATTTCTACTTGTACAAATAATTAGAGGAAAAATCCTCTGTTTTGGGAAGGAAGAACCGGGAAGAAATCCAGCAACATCATTTTTAAAGAGTTGACAGAAAAAAAATTTTTTTATACGATAAGGGTTGGAAACGACCATACAATCCACCTGAAGAGCACCTGTAAGTGGATGTTGTGGTCTATAGACATCTACATCTATCCTCAATTAAGAATCGAAATGCAGATGCGTTGTGTCACCCATAAGGTCTGAGATGGAATACCTGTTTTCCAGCATACATGTTTCCGGTTTCCTACATTCACCATTCGAAACCTGGCAGCTGCTTTTCACGTGACTACTTCTCGCCAGTATTCTGTGAGAACTTAGTCCTTTCCCGGTCGAGCCAACTCATTCTAAACTATGATAAAATTGCAGCATGCCACTACCAAGTATGATATGTTATAAAATTAATCTTAAAAATCATTTAAAATAAAATTAGGCAGAAAAGTTTTATCCCATTCCTTATACCCTTATCTTATTTACAGAAATTATTATCAAACATACATTTATTAATATATTCAAAGAAAGACGGTATTACATTGGACCATTGGGAGAGAGGTAAAGCCCTAGTGTGGGATGCTACTTGCGTAGACACTGGCGGCCTCTCATCTCAAGGGTACCTCGTTTAGACCCGGTGCGGCATCAGAGGCAGCTGAACTGAGTAAGTGGTGCAAATATGAGTCTCTGAGAGATGAATACATATTTGCTGTAGAGACTATCGGTTCGTGGAGTCCACGTACGTTGAAGTTCCTAAAGGAACTCCATCCGCGGCTGATCGTTGCAGCTGGTGATAAGAGGGCTGGTTCTTTTCTCGCTCAAAGGCTAAGTATGGCCATTCAGCGGGGAAACGCAGCCAGCGTTCTTGGCACGATACCACGGGGAGTAGGACTATATTATGTGTATTAAGTTTCGAGTTATAGTTTTTTTTTTATTTTAGTTTTTAATATTGTATATTCAAAGTAAATAAGTTCATTTCTTAGAGTTTTGTTGTAAAAGCGTTTACATCGTTCATTAAATGGATAATTAAATCTGATGAGCCGAGTAACTCGTGTCATATAACCTAGTACCTCTGTTGGTAGTTTTATTTAGCTTGTTTTTTGTTTTCATGTTCATTGAATATTCGTTGGAGATGAAGGAAAACGGTATGAGAAAACCTGCATATCTGCAAAAAATATTTCGACTGTTACAAAATGGCGCTTACGGCACAAAATAGATCCTGTGCCAGTCGCGTTTCCCCAAAAATAAACAGTTTGCGATTTCAGCACTAGTGAGACTTCTAATATTTTTAAAGCATCTAGATGGCGACACTAGTGCTCACTCAGCCAGACTAATTTTGGAACATCTTTGCGAGTAATTTCTTGTGTTTCTTAATTTGTTGATAATTGATATTCAATTAAATATAGTGATAAACTTATTTGTTCTGTCCATAAATTGGTTTTTCCATATAGTTCTTAAACAACTAGCATACAATGAAAGAAACGCTAGTAGAGCTAGAAACTCTACTACTACTAGATAAGAGTTAGCGAGCAGTCAGAAGCGAGTGTGTAGTTCGGATAGTTTTGTCGCTAGGCTACTGCCAAACATTTTATACGTGCAATCTATGGGTCAACTACACGCGAGGAGCTATCAACGCTCTCCGAGTACAATATAAAAATGGTCTGAGGATGTTGTTGGGTCTTTCAAGTTGCTGCAGTGCATCAGGGATGTTCGCACTGGCGCACACTGATGGGTTTCACACCGTAGTGGGCAAGCGAATCGCATCCCTCCTGCGCATGGTGCGGGGAAGCGCCAGCACTATTCTCAGAGTTATCAGTGAAAAGCCTGACTGTCCGATACTGCAGCCCTGGGTGTACGCTCACACATATGTTGCAAGGGTGTGGCGCAGTGCAGGCAGATATTTATATTAGAATAAATATTTTCCAAAAAAATGTAACTAACCTAGTTTATAAGATCTCTTTTTTATGCTACTAACAATATTATGGACAAAAGTCTAAAATATTTTTTTTTTATATAAACGTATTGTACGAGTAGTTCTTAATTTATCGTGTAGTCAACATTGAAGAGTAAAATGACCGCTGCATGCGTTGCCAAGCGAGCATCGCTGAGCGAGTATATCTTTGATAGCTCTTGTCGCTGCGACAAACTAGTAAAGAGAGAGTTTTCGCCGGCAGTGTAAACAACTTTTAATACCTACACATATGTAGGTATCTCTTTTACTGACACGGAATCTATATATTTTGTTTGTTTTTTGAGCGAGAAAATAGTCGATAGCTAAACGCTTCCTCGTCGGCGGTAATCGGAAAATCACTAATCTTAAAACCGTGCAAAGTTATATTTAATAGAAAGCTGACATATCATATTTCGATTATAGATGTACAGAGAGAAATCAAATGTAAGCATGTAAGTATGACGACAAACAAGGGTTCCAAAAAATCAAAAATAAAATTGAACTCACTCTAGTAATTCCAGCAACATAAGCGTTGTAAGTTTGCCTGGAGAAACCCAGGATGCTGATGTCCAGGAGGAAGTCGACAAGATGTCCCCCGGGGCCGCTGTGCGTGTGAGTTCCTGTCACTATCACGTTGCGGAGGGAGTACGTGTCCCCGTATAGCTCCTGCAGATTCTTCACCACCTGAGGATTGAGAGAGAAATTCAAAAAGATAAAACGAAAATCTAACTACGTTCTAAAGCAAAATATTGATGAAGGAAGCAGAGTTTTAAAATATAATAATAGGTTGGGGATAAAGTTACTTCGTATTTTGTTCGTATAATGTTGAAGAAAAAAATCTTTGGTTGTACTCTTTGTATCGGCTGGTGTTAATATACCTATGACATTAAGAAAAAGAAAAAGAAAAAGTAAAAAAACACTTTCCCGCCATTTTTAATTGTTTTTCTGTAGTTGTATTACAAAAAAGGGAAAAATGCGATTCAATCCGCGAAAAAAGTTTGATAATGAAATGTAATGTTGTCCCCGAACTTAGTACATACAATCTTGATCATCAATAACGATGAAATACTAGATTCCCAAGTTCGAATAGGACAATATATATATATATATATATATATATATATATATATATATATATATATTAAATTTACGTTGATAAGCGAACTTAAACTGAACCTGACGTTAAATGGCCACTGCAGCCCATGGAAACCTGCAACTTCAAATAAAGAACGCTACACATGCGTTGTCACCTCTGAGGACAAACATGGAATGTCTCATAACCTGTAAATATACTGGCTTATGATACTGGCTATCTCACTGCCCTTCACACCTAAACTAAGCAGGACACGTACTGCTACTTGATGGCAGAAACAGGCAAGATGGTACCTACCTAGACAAACTCCTAGTAAGAAAAGGAACCACCACGTAGGAAATATAAAGATATTGCAAGAACGCAGATTGCACGCCTGAAAAGTTCAATTATAATTTCAAAACGTATTTAATGTTCAGTCTTTTTAGGCCACATTCTTACCGTGTAGTGGCGGTAAAATAATATCCACTACCCCATATCATCCCGTGGGTGTCATAAGAGGCGACAGAGGGAAACAAACCAGGAAATAGGCAGCAGCGTCTTTTAATAACGACTAAAATATAAAACTGCGACTGCCAACCTGTTTGCCAAGCATGGCAACTATGGTGAAGACCACCTCACCGTATGTGTAAGCAATTGTGGATGAAAGAATGAGGAGCGCAGTGGTAGATACAAGGGTTTACCGAGGGTCCAACGTAGGGACGGATCATTACTTGGTCTTATGCCGAATTAATGGTCTATTCAGGCGTTGGCGGCATCGGACATCTGTGTCTACCACTGCGTTACAGCGTATAAGAATAGAGAGGTTACAAGATGAAGGTGTGAAAGAGAAGTATAAATGCAGACTGAGGGTAAATATAAGTGGGTTGAATGAATTATGTATTGACTTGAAAACTTTATGGAATAATATTAAGAAAGTTTTGGTGGATGCAGCCACCGAAGTATGTGGTGTAAGTAAGAGAAAGAATGAAAGGAAAAGTAATACGTTGTGGTGGGATGATGAGGTACGGATGGAAGTTGAAGCAAAGAAGAAAGCATGGCTAGATTTACTAGCAACCAAAGCTGGTAATTCTGGCGGTATTAATGATGAGATTGAAAGAAAAAAGGCAGACTTTAGACGTATAAATAAGAGAGTAAAAGAAGTTGTTGAAAGGAAAAAGCAAGAAAGATATAGAAGGATATCTAATAAACTTCCAGTAAAATATTAAAATGTTCTGGAAGCTCGTAAGAACTGCCAGGGGAAATTCAAAACAGCCTAGAATGAATGCTATACGAGACGAGAATGGCTGCATGCTGAATGATGAAGTTAATGATTCGAATTTAAAAAGATGGAAGGAATACTTTGAAAGCGTGTTTAAGAGTGAAGAGTCGTCTAAAGTAAGTGAAATAGAAATTCCGGAAGAAGTGGAGAGAGGTAGGGAGGTAAGTGTAGATGAAATAATGAAACAATGAAAAGCATGAAAGCAGGTAAGGCAGCCGGATATGATAGAATATCACTCGATATGCTAAGGGCTGGAGAGGGTGTGGTTGCAGGCCTGCTATGCACCTTGTTTAATTTATGTTGGGAACTGAAGTGGGTACCGGAAGATTGGTGCAAAGCCGTTATAGTCCCAATATATAAGGGAAAGGGCTGGCAGCAGGACTGTAAAAACTACCGTGGTATAGCTTGCTTAGCATTGTGGGTAAACTGTATGCTAAGGTGTTAATTGAAAGAGTTATGGAAGAAACTGATGGAAAAATTTGGGATGTGCAAGCTGGATTTAGAAAGAGGATGGGGTGTACGGATCAAGTCTTTTCCATGCGCATGATTGCGGAGAAGCTTTAGGCCAAAAACCAGAAAGTTTTTTGTGCGTTCATGGACTTGGAAAAGGCTTATGACAGAGTGGAAAGGAATGTGTTATGGCAAACACTGAACTCATTTGGGTTGAGCGCTGGCTTGATACAGGTATTAAGGTCTCTTTATAGGGACTCTAGTGCTTGTGTCAGGATCAACGGGGTCTACTCGGACTGGTTTGGCATTCATAAAGGTGTCAGACAGGGATGTGTGGCTTCCCCGTGGCTGTTTAACCTATTTATGGACAGTTGTTTGCAAACTTTGAAAGTTGAAGAATGTGGGTTGAGAATGGGTGAGTTAACCGTCAAATGCTTTTTGTACGCCGATGATCAAGTCATATTTGCATCGTCGGCGGCCGAGTTGCAAATTATGGTTACTTTAATGAACTGGTCATTGAAAGAAAGGGGTATGAAAGTGAACGCAAGTAAGACGAAAGTGATGGTTTTTGAAAGAGAAGAAAGTAAAACGTTATGTGAAATAAAAATAGAAGGGGAGTTGATTGAGCAAGTGGATGAGTTTGTATATTTGGGATGTTTATTTAGCAGGGATGGTAGATATGATAAGGATATAGAACGACGAGTGAACGCAGGAAATAGAGTGAAGACACCCACACGCTATTATGAGGAGTCAGAATGTGTCAAATAAGGCACGTATAGCAATTCATAATGCTGTGTTAGTCCCTACTTTAATGTATGGTAGTGAAAGTTGGGTCTGGCAGAAAAAGCATGAGAGTAGAATAAATGCTGTAGAAATGCGGTCCTTAAGGAGTATGCTAGGGCTGAATCTGAATGACAGGGTGAGAAATAGTGTGATAAGAGAAAAGTGTGGTTTGCAAGATGACGTTGTGACAAGCATTAAGAAAGGAATGCTTCGGTGATTTGGTCATGTAGAAAGAATGAACGAGGAAAGAGTGACAAAGCAAATTTATGTTGCAGAAGTGAACGGTAGGGTCGCGAAGGGACGCCCTAGACGAAGGTTTATCGACCAAATCGGCGATACATTAAAAAGGGGCCAGATCAGGAGTACCCTTAACCGACGAGCGTGTATGCGTAGATATATGGATGTAAAGGAGGCGAGAGAGGTGTGTCAGGATCGCGCCAAATGTAAGCCCGTAGTCTCTGCCTACCCCTCTGGGTGACAGGCGTGAGTGTTTGTATTGTATGTATTTTTTTGTATTGTATTGGCAACTATGGTAAATATCTCTCCTATGACGCAATCTATGAGGGAAGCCCAGGATTTTAATAGGCCGTGACAGTAACGGAACGGCCTAGCCATTTTTACAAAAAAAAAATCTTTTATTCATATATTTATGATGATAAACTTACAACACGCACAGAATGATATTGTGGCGTAGTGTATGGCGTACAGTATGATATTGTGGTTTATCGTACGCCGCCACTGCAGTATTGTTTAATATTATACAACCCGCTACAAAAAAGCTTCTCAATTCGACCGTATTTTTATGTGTGTTATTAATGATGTTCTCATTTTATTTATATTGAAATCGGTTGTATAAAATGTTTTAATTTTATCACTTGTACATCACACACATATACTAACTAAAAAGCTAATAAAATAAAATAAAAATAAACTAATAACTTCCTTTTAACTTTTATAAGATCAAATCAATGTTAATAAAAGTATGAACAATTACTTATTCGTCGGTAATTAAAAAGCTAAACTTAAACGTGATAAAATCCGTAAAATTAGTTTGATATTAATAAACATAAGTTAAAAAAAATGTTTTACCTCACGTCTAACAGCAATGCCCACTGCTAAGACATCCGCCGTAACAAGAACTATCCTAGTGTCGCCTTTTACGAAAATAAACGCCCTGGAGTACTGACGGAGGTGAATTCCACGCCCCGATTGGCCAAAATCTGCATAGCCCATCTGAAAAAGGAAAGTGAAGGATGATGATGATGTTATTTTTAACAAATAAAGAGTGATAAAGGAGCACACAGTCCACCCGATGATAATAAGATGATGTGGCCAAAGGATACATCTATTTCAAATTGAAAATCAAAGGCAGATTCATTTTCTTTCGACCCATTTGTAGCTACTGCAGTTGTATATTGTAGTATAGTTTTACCATGTAACAAATATTCTCTTAGTTGGGTTTTATAGGATCTGTGTAGGATTTTGGGCCTTACTATTAAAAGCACGCCAAATCGCCATACTTATCTATAACGCCGTAATGCAAGGGAGCGACGTCACGTCAAATTATTACGTACCAATATTTAACGTCTATTTAACACTTTCACCGATTCTCTTGTTTTGTAGCATTAAAGAAAGTTAGTATAATTTACAGTATTTTTAAATATTCATATAAAACGCGATAGAGTCGCGACTCACAGCTGCATGAACACGGTCTATTCAATTGGGGAGAACATGAAAAACCGTGAAAAAGATAACTACCGTGTTTCGTATGGTATGTGGTGAGAACCAGATACCCTTTTCACTGGTAACGAAGGAATCCACCTTAGTCCTCAGGGTCAGCCTTATGTACTCGTTTGTTTCCTTCACGTCTATAAAAAATTAGGTTCTTAATAAAAAGTAAAAACCGACTTCAAAGATCTAATATTAATATATAATTTTCTACTGACTTCAAAAAGGAGCCGGTACTCAATTCGACTGTATATTTTTTCTTTATGTGTCATAACTTTGTTCTACGTGAACCGATTTAGATGATTCTTTTTTAAGGTTGAAAGGTGATGCTTTTAATGTGGTCCCATATAAATTTGATTACGGTTTGGTCAATAGTTTCTGAGTTATCCTTAATATATATTGAAGTCGGTTCTACAACATTTTTTATTTTAAATTATCATGTAAAATCTTCACAACTTGGTGTAAAGACATAGTATATTACAACTATTATAGCTCCGAATTCAAATTTATACGTGGTTGAACCACGCTGTAGCTATTCCTCGTATTATAGTTGTAGCACGAATGGATCGGCTAGACCGGGGAAAGACCACGCTCTCACTGAATACCAGCCTAAAATAGCAGCTTAACACTGCTATGTTTCGTATGATGAGTGTAGAGAACCGGAGACCCTGTTTACTGGAAAAGAGACATTCCATATTAGTTCTCGCGGCTGACAACGCATCTGCATTTTGATTCGTAATCGAGGGTAGATGTAGATGATCGTATTAATAGATAATAGATCGTATTCTATCAAAACGTCCGTGACTTGCGAACTAAAACTAAGCAATTTCGAGACAGTATAATTTGTAATAATTTCAACATAATACTCATTACTCAAACTTGGTTAACTGATGGTATTTACAACGGTGAATTGTGTGACAACAGGTAGGACATATTTAGGTATGATAGAAATAAAACATCTTCGCATAAAAAGAAGGGTGGGGGAGTTATGATTTGTACGTACACACAATTAGAAGCTGAAGAACGAACGGAATGGATGTGTAGAGATCTCGAATGTTTGTGGGTAACAGTACCAGGAAAATATTTAAGTTGTCAAGACAGACATAATTTACACATTGGAGTTGTTTATATACCGCCTGATAATTATCAATCAAAGCGTTTAGATAATTTTACAGAAATGCTCACAATAATCATAACTCAATATCCAAATGATCACTTTATAGTTGCCGGTGACTTCAACTTAGCGAATATATCCTGGTCCTCTTCAGGTCCCGTCATGCTTAAGCAAGGTCCAGTAGAATTACAAAATGCTGCAGTAAAGTTAATTGATCTATGCAACTTATCAGGGTTAAATCAACATAATATTATCAGCAACTATAGTGGCAACGTACTAGACTTAGTGTTTAGTAACATAAAGATAGACGTTACCCGTTCTCAAATATATCTTGTATCTGAGGATAAATATCATCCTTCTTTATTGCACGACGCATCTGATCTGTCAATACCCTGTTTAAAAAATAAACTACGATCAAAATTAAACTTTTACCGAGCTGATTATGATAAAATAAATAAAACTCTCTCAGAAGTCAACTGGTCTACCTTGTTAATTGGCAACTCAATTGATGTCGTAGTTCAAAATTTTTATTCCCAACTAAATCTAATAATTGATAAACTTGTACCTACTTGTTTATCGCGTTCACCTAATTACCCTGTATGGTATTCTAAATCACTAAGGCATATTATTCGAGAAAAGCTCTTAAAACATAAAACTTGGAAAAAGTATAAAAATCCTCGTGATTATGGTGAATTTTGCATACTACATACTAGACAAAAGAAATTACAGAAACAGTGCCACGAGCGCTACTTAGATAAAATTCAAAGTCTCTTAAAAAATAATCCTAAAATATTATGGTCTTATTTAAAATCTATACGTAATAGCAACTCTACATACCCTAATACATTACAATTAGGAAATGAATCATACACAAATGAAACGAACGTGTGTGCGGGATTTAATAAATTCTTTGAAAGTGTTTTTCAAAAACCATCTTCTTCTTACGATTATTCCCATATTCCAAACGTTGAATCAAACGATATATTACATAATATATACTTTAGTACCAAAAATGTTTCTCGTATTCTACATACACTTAAAACCAATACAGGGCCTGGTAGTGATGGCATACCTCCCCTATTTATTCATAAATGTACAATACACTTGGCCAAGCCTCTCTCAATAATCTTTAATATGTCTGTTAACACCTATGGAGCATTTCCTAGTAAGTGGAAAGAAGCTCTAATAATACCTATACATAAGAGTGGACCAAAAAACAGAATTGAGCACTACCGCCCAATCTCCATATTAAACACATTTGGAAAGATATTTGAAAAACTTATCTTTATACAAATTAGTCCTATAATCTTAAAATCAATACCAAATGAACAACATGGTTTTATAAATAAAAGATCAACCGTAACAAATTTGGATATTTTTACCAATTATATATATAAGAGCATGGACGACAGGCAGCAGGTTGATGTAATATACACGGACTTTGAAAAAGCATTTGACCGTGTTGATCATGCTATCCTTTTGCGTAAACTTTACAGTTTGGGTATTCATGGTGATTTGCACAGATGGGTAACTTCATACATAAGTAACAGAAGGCAAGCAGTGTTATTGGGTAGTGCTCGTAGTGATTTTATTTCGGTAACATCTGGTGTCCCACAAGGCTCAATACTCGGACCTTTGTTCTATAACACCTATTTATTTGACATCGGTGACTGCTTCTATCATTCAAACTATTTAATTTTCGCAGATGATAAAAAAATCTATCTAAAAATAAAAACAATTGATGACTGTGTTCTGATTCAAAACGATTTAAAAAACCTAGAAACTTATTATAGAAAAAATATAATTACAATTAATAGTGAAAAATGTGTCAAAATAACCTTCAGTCGCAAGAAACAGCTCATAGATTACAAGTATTCAATTAACAATAACACTATAAAGAGTGTATCATCAGTTAGAGATCTTGGTATCAGGCTGGACTCAAAATTAAAGTTCAATGAACATATAGACAGTATTGTTGATAAAGCCTACAAGCAAATTGGATTCATAAAGCGCGTCTGCAATGATTTTAGCAGTATTAATTGCATTAAAGCTCTATATTTTGCATACGTAAGGAGTATTCTCGAATACGCTAATACAATCTGGTCTCCAAAATATGCTAAGCATAAGCATCGAATAGAATCAATTCAAAAACTGTTCATTAAGTTTATATCATCAAAAGATCACAATAGTTTTGCTACATACGAAGATGCTTGCAAATTTTACCGCTTAGATACCTTGGAACTCAGAAGACTTCAACATGATATGTTGCTACACGGTCTATGGTCTGGTATTATAGATTGTCCAGACCTGTTATCTAAAATATAGATACTAGTACCTAAATACCGAACTAGACATAGGCCATTATTTCACGTACCACGAGCAAACACAAATTACGCAAAAAATTCTACTCTATGTCGTATTGTTCAAAACTATAATAAGTGTTACGCTGACTTGGATATTTTCAACCTATCCAAGAGTCGCATCAAACGTGATGTTGTAAACAAAAATAGGGCATAATTACACACAGACACACACTCATACACACACAGACACACACACACACACACACACACACACACACACACACACACACACACACACACACACACGAACAGAGAGAAAGAGAGAGAGAGACACACACAGACGCATGCACACTTACTCAAGCACACACGCACGCTTAATTATTAGTTGATAAAAATAGTGTAATCTCTATTGGCCTTACTGTATGATAATATGTATTGTAAATACGATGAAAACGCTGTATGATTACCTAAATAAATAAAATAAAATAAATGTCTATGAATCACAGCAACCACTTACCATCAGGTGGATTGTGTGGTTGTACCACAACTCTAACCACAACTCTATTAAATAAGTTTACCTTAGTCCCAACTAGCGACATCTGGTGAGCTTAAGATTATTAAGTCATAAGTCTTCATTGAACAAAATATCGCGCAACATACATACAAAAGAAAAGAACATACAGTTGAGAAATTCCTCTTTTTTAGTTGGTTGAAAAACCGTGCAATAACTGTAGGTGTCACTTAAAATCACTTACAAAATTAATTTCAACACAAGGTCCAGTCATATCGGCTATACCGACGCCAACTTGGTAAATTATATCACTAGTATCAATAGTGACATTATCAATAGGAGCCTCTGTAGTCAAAAACTCTGGCTCTGTAGACAAAAAATCTGTAGTAGTATTTATAGTAGTAAAATCTATAGTTGTGGGAGTGGTCGCTGTTGGAGTCGTGTCTTCCGTCGTGATCGTATCTTCGTTATTGATTACAATGACAATCAGCGCAGTCATGGCGCCTACAACAGCTATTGTCACCACGGGAATCACGATTTTTCCAGTCAACGAAATCGCCATTATCTGTAACAAATTAAACGAAGTATATTATTAAAAAAAATAAAAGTGAAGCTACAGCCGATATACGTCCCACTGTTGGACACAGACAGTAGTGTCGAGACAGCTAGATTAGTTCATTTCAGTTATTTCCATACCATAATGTCTTATGGGATTTTGCTATGAGATAATACGGCTGATTTAGAAACTATTTTTGTAAAACTAAAACCGAGTCTCTCAGAGAAAAAATTACTAGACTTAGAGTCTCCAGTTCTCGTTATAGTCTGTTCGCTTAGATTTTGGACATGAAGCTGCTCGCTGTAGGAATTACTTAAATCCTGATTGCTTACACGTATGCCCTTGGTAGTCCTAAACGAGCAGCACTACATACTGGTGGTAGGTTGGTCCTCTACTAGTGAGAGGTCCGGCCGAGGGTTAGTTACCACCCACCTGGCAAAGACGTACTGCCAAATGATGTAAATCGTGTTCCGGTATGTTGTTAGATAAAACCCATTTCTTAGGGAGAATGGGTCTGGACAGTTGCGTTGCACACTTAGTGTCAGGTGCCTGGTTATGGTGGTTATCGGGATCCAAAGCACGGTTGCACCGCTGGCCGACCGTGGCCCAATTAATGAGCCAGCCACTCATGGAAGGCTATCCCGCCACCTTACGAAAAACCCTGGGATGGTTCCACCATGCCGGTTGGCGACCGAAGGTGAGAGCTTGGTGGCGATTTCCAGGGGGTTCAGGCGACGACGCGATCTCCATGCAAGGCACCCTAGGTTATATGTGTGACGCCTCTTCCAACTGCCATTCTCACAACCTATTCACTCCCACAATTTATGAAAAAAAGGAAAAAGAAGAGTAAGTTTGTATAGCGATTGCACTCTCTCTCCATCAAAGTGCACCTCACAAATGTTTGTGAGCTACACTTTGGTGGAGAGGGAGTTTCTCGGATGTCCGAGGCCTGCACTGTAATCTCAATGCAGTCCATTACCTTGTGAGACTGACAAGCCGCACTTAATCTTCTTGACTGTGACGCAGATCAGATGTCCTCTAGATTGGAGCATAATTTCCATCAGCGCGCCGGAGTCTATGTTTACGTCTGCAACGACATCTGCTGTAAGCGTCTCTGTCGCCTTGAAGACCCCACTTTCTCTACACTCTGGGTATTGATAGACACACAGACAATGGATAAAATTATTTATTCTTTCGTCTACCAATCGCACAGCGGTGACCAGGAGACAATTAGGCTGTTTTAACACCTCAGTGAAACCTCTCATGTGGCTCTAAACTGCCTCGACCTTCTGCTGCCGACCAATCCTGACAAGTACGATGTTCAGGCTACCTCACCCTTGGGAACTTCTAGCCACTGTCTAGTGAAATCTGTGTCGTTATATTCCCCACCTATCTACGATTTCCACTATGAGCGGTGAGTGTGGCGATGCAGGTCAGCAGATTGGGATGAGATGCAGCATTTTTTTGCATCTTATCCTTGGCGGCAGGTCTGCTTCTCCTCTGAAAACCCGTCGAGCTGCGCGGATGCCATAACCGATGTGATATATCAAGCTATGGAGTATTTCATCCCCTTTGCTGACGTGCCCATTGGTGGTAAAGCTCGCCCATGGTTCAACGCCAAGTGCGATAGTGCTGAAAAGAACAAGCATATGGCGTACTTATCCTGGGTCGATGCTCGAGACCGCAAAGCTCCGCTTAAGAAGAAAGCCGCCAAGTCCTGCAAAAAGGCATTACGCCAAGCCAGTTTCGACCGCATTAAACACATCGGTACAAAGCTCTTTGTCTAACCATCGATGTACTATTTTTTCACTAATAGGGCGATGCCAATCTCGTGAGATTTAATGCCTCCAAAACACAAGCATGTCTTTTCACCGCTAAAAGGAGCACGCTCACCTTAGCTCCTACATTCCGGAATCAGTATCCTTGAAGTACGCTGACCGCTTTCAGTTGTTAGGGGTTGAATTTTCTCCGAACCTCAACTATGGGCGGTTCATTGAGTCTAAAGCTAAAGCAAACCGCAAGGGAACTTGGTGTCTTTGCAAGGGTTCGGCGGTACTTTACGTCGGGGTAGCTTCTTACCTTATATAAAGCGCAAGTCCGGTCGTACATGGAATATTGCTGTCTCATATGGCCTGGTGCTGCAAAATGCCACCTGGCAGCGTTGGACTCAATGGAGAGACGTGCTAAGAGGCTCAATGGTGTTCTTGATTTGGTTGAAACCAATCTTGTCAGCCTCGAGCACAGTCTCTCGGTATTCTATAGGATGCATTCGGTGAGTGTGCGCAGAAATTACACGCTTTAATGCCTTCCTCTCCTTTCCACCATCAGACAACTAGGTGGTCGGTGCGTCTTCACCCCTTTATTATCGATATTCCACGCATTTGAACCAAAAGGTTTGCTTCGTCTTTTGTAATGCGTACATCAAAGGAGTGGATTAATTTGCCGGCGTCTATCTTTCCGTCAGAATACAATCTGGGCGTCTTCGAAGCAAGAATGTATAGGGTTTTGTTACGCTAAGACAGTGCGATTTACAATCTAGGGCTGCATCACCACTTACCACCAGGTGGGATTGTGGTCAAGCACTGGCTTATAATAAGTAAAGAAAAATACGGTCGCCTTGGTGTCGCTTCGCATTAGCACGTGCCACATTCTGTCAATGGCACCGCCGCGACATCAAAGATCGCTGCGTGCAGCGTACACTCGCAGGAGAATTTGGCATTTTAAAACGAAGCGCCGTAGTGATAAGTTCTTTGCTATATAACTTGTGTTTATTATTCATATTCGTATTTTATTACAATAAACATAAGAATAAATACATAGCTCATATTATAAGGAGTATCTTAAGCTACTTATATTTTTGAAAAATAATTAGGGTTCCGCGCAACAAAATTAAAACCCTAAATTACACGCGGGCGAAGTCGCGGGGAACAGTTAGTCTCAAATATAAGTAAAGCCACATTAATAGATCTTGATATTACGCGAAGCCGGAGCAGGTCACTAGTTGAAATACAAAATTTTCGTTTATACTCGTACTTGTGATTGCACTTGCTGAAACTACATCTTCGTTTATGATTTGGAATGACACAGTGAACTAAAGAAAATAATAATTGTACTAAATGAGTCGTTACTCGTTACCGTTACAGTCTTAAAGTCCACTGCTTAACATAGATTACATCATAGGAGGGATATTTACCATAGTTGCCACGTTTGGCCAGTGAGTTGGCAACCGCAGTTTTTATTTTTAGTCGTTATTAGAAGGACGCTCCTGCCCATTTCCTGATTTCTTTCTCTCTGTCGCCTTTTACGACATCCACGGGATGGATGGGGTATTGGACACTCTTACACCGCCACTACACGATAATAAACTAATTGAAAGTAATTAATAAATGGCTTACCGTTATAAGAAACTCTGGGCACTTATTATATTTTTCTAAATTTAAACAAAATTTATTAAAAATTAACTTATAATCACAATATTATTAAACTATTTTGGCATCATTAAAAGCGACGATTATGTAAGCATACCTATGCGTAGATACTACAAATCAGTGAAAATAAAGCAACATACTTAATCTATATTTTTAAATTAGCACGATTTTAATAATCTTATCGAAATATTCACTCGTGTTGTCGAGGCCAATTATCTAATAGATATGTATTTCATTGATATAATAATTTTGATATCCGAAATAAAAAATATGACAAACGATTTGCCCTCAAGTAACTCTAGAAATATCACAAGTGGACAAAATAGTATGCGTGCATTTGCGTGCGCCTGTGAGTGTGCATGTGTGTGTGCATGTGTCTTTGTGAGTATGCGCGCGTATGCATGCGCATGTGTACATGTTCTTGTACCCGTATGTGTGAACCTTTTCCTGTGCATGTGTGCGTGCGTATGAGTGTGCGTGTGCATGCTGATACAAAATTCAAGAAGCATAAGGCGTTTAGTGGTGGCGTAAGAAAAACAACTACCACATACCATCCCGTGGGTGTCGTAAGTGGCGACGGAGGGAAACTGAAACAGGGTATGGAAATGTTCTAGGCCATACAGCAGCGGACTCTTCAAAGTCTACTCTTCTAATCAAAGAATGAATGAAACAAACTGACAGGGCTCCTTTGCTCGTAAATATTCTGGCTAGATTTTTATTTAGAAAGGAGTCTAATTAAAGTGTTAGTAGAAACAAAAATATGACAACGTCTCAACGTACACATCTCTTTGTCACCTTCCACATTACACTCTTAACTATTTCTGCTGACGAGCAGCAATGCTGTATACCGGGTTTTAGGGTAAGGGACATAGATTAAAGAAATCTACGCACAGTAAGTCCCCAGAAAGTCCCGTTTGTATGGTATGATGTTATCTTATACAGGGTTATTTTGCAATAACCGGCTCATTTGCAGACAAGGTTCAGAATAAGCAATATAAGCAAATGGTGAGGAAAAATTAATCAAAATATCTCAAACATTCTGTCCTATCTTTTAAATTCAAAATGCGTGGTAATGCCTGATTTTACTGACACATTCGTAAGCAAAAACGTTGTTGCCCATAAATCACATTCAATTTGGGATAATTTCAAATAAAAGTGAAGCCTTATTTACTCGTGTATTCAAAAACTGAAATAACGGTTAATCATTATTTATATATTTGAACTTAAGTTTAAAATTTGGCTACTCTTTGAAAAATAACCCTTTCCCGGTCTCGACGGAGACCAACCATCAGCACAGTACTGGATTTTAAAGTACACTTTTCATTCACTCACTCTCATAAGCAACATGCCTATATAAATATAGGCATTTCATCTTATACTCTCAAAACTATTATGAATTACGCACACGTGGTAGAGCCACGTTACAGCTATTGTACACGCCCCTAGCTGCCCCAATCAAGGATGACGGGATTAGGGCCCATGAGTAATCCCATCGACGAGCAGCAGAGGGACGGGGCCAGAATATGGCGACGTGGAATTTCCTAATTACAATAAACAATATGGGAGGAAGCTAGAAAC